AAGAAAAAGTGAAGTTCTTCGTAGGAGAAAATACAATGCTGCTCCACATTTTCAGAGTTAAAGTAAAGGTGAACTTTGTAAGCGCAATATTAGACTAAAATTACACTGAGCTTTAGAGATTACAAATAAGGTAAGAGGCTTAACTTATGATACTATTCCCTAAGCTCAAACTAACAGTACACAGATTATTATAATCTAATTTAAATATATTCAATAGTAAAGCTCACAGGAAAAATAACTCTAAATATACATACTCAATGATGAGCTCTAAATTAGCTATAATCACTCAGGAAAGAGACCTGGGAGACACTGTAGACAGTTCTGTGGAAACACCAGTTCAGTACTCGGGGAGAGCCAGGGAGGCAAGCAGGATGTGAGAGAAGGCACTGAGATCAAAGCAGCAGCAGCAGCAGCAGCAGCACTGTCCTGCTGAACAGCCAGGTTCCCCCCACAGCGCGAATCTTGCATGCCATTCTTGCCTTGCCATTTCACAAACAGGGGATTGTAACCAGAAAGGGTACAGGAATACATGGTTCAGAGATTCATAACAGTTTCCACAGTAGGAGAAGCTAAATAGACTGGAACCTTGCAGCTTAGAAAATTAATGAACTAGTAAGACAGAAAACTACATTTGAGGTAAAGAACATATGGAATTATTCTTCACTTTTTACCTTGAAATGAGAATTATCAGTCAAAGAAATGAATAGGCTCCAAACTTAAACATAAGAAATAATTTTTTGTGCAAGAAAGAAATAGTTTAAGGAATTCAGGAGTTTATGATATTGTAGAAACAAAAAAAGGATGTGTAGGTTTAAAACAGATTAAACAAACTCATGGTATCTATTAAATCATTTGGATTTAGCTTTCCGGGGAGTCCCCAGAATAGTGGCTGTTAAAAGACGGAAGAATGTATACAGGAAATACTTACTCTTACATCTGGTGTATGTTTTTCCCTATTCCTTACATTCAAAAGTTATGTTGCCCTAGGCAAAAACTACATAAATTTCAGCCATACTTAAAGTTACTCAAATAACATGCAAAATTATTTCTGCTGAAACTTCCCTAAACTCATATCAAAACTAGCAAATCTTTTCTATTCTTTCATTTTTTTATTTTTTTTTCAATTTTGGCTATAGAATTGAATTAAATGTTTTTGTTTTCCACAAAAATGTTCAAGATGTTGTACATGCTGAGGCTGGGATGAAATTTAGAATTGTATTTAATCTTCTTTCCTTTGGAAAGTAATTGAGAATAACTTTCAAGTACCTCAGAACAACAAAGTAGCCCAAAGGTTAGGCACCCCGTCTGGAGTATGGAGCACTTGAGACAGCACAGCATGGAGGGCTATGAAGAATTTCTCAAATATGAAAGACAGTGGAAAGCACACAGACACAGCTAACCTGTTCACCTGACACCATGGCTTCAGCCTCAGGCTCCCAGATCCCAAATGACAGTATTATCCAACCCAACAGCTCTGCTCCTTTAGTGCAAGTTATCAGATTACCCTCTCCTGTTAGAACTTTCACTTTTTATACATTAGTTTTAACTGGGACTTAAATTTAATTTCCCATGGTCCTAAGTACGTGCTTTAGCTATTCAAATACAAATGGTCTTTTTCTCTACTACAAGCTAAAGTTAATGTAAAAAGCCCTAACACAGGACTTTTTTTGTAGGTGTTTTGTTAAGTAAGCTACAGCCTTGATCCTGCACAATGATTCTGAAGGAGGTTTTCTACATTCTCACAGATGCCTACTCTCACTAGGTTATAGCTATACAAAACTTCAAAGAAATTATCAGTTCTATGTAAAGAAGAGAATCATAAACAAAGATTGTGTGGTAGAGCACAGAAAAATAAGAGTTTTCATGTTATTACTTTTATCCTTTGAAACTCACATCAGACAATATTTTTGTGACTACATCTGCAATCATGCACTT